GTTCCCGTGAAAGTGAGCATTCCAATATTAGGGAGGACTTCGTGTGAATGAGAGCATTCCAATGGTATAGGATGTTCATGTGAATGAAAGCATTCAAATGATATAGAATGTTCCTGTGAACGAGAGCATTATAATGGTAGAGAATGTTCCCGTGAAAGTGAGCATTCCAATATTAGGGAGGACTTCGTGTGAATGAGAGCATTCCAATGGTATAGAATGTTCCTGTGAATGAGATCATTCCAATGATAGAGAAGGTTCCTGTGAATGAGAGCATTGCGATGGTAGAGAATGATGCCGTGAATGAGAGCATTCCAATGATTGTGAATGAGAGCATTCCAATGAAAGATTTGTCGAGTTATTGAGAGCATTCAAATGATAGAGAATGGTCCATTGAATGAGAGCATTCCAATGATAGAGAACGTTCCTGGGAATGAGAGCATTCCAATGATATAGGATGTTCATGTGAATCAGAGCATTGCAATGATATAGGATGTTCATGTGAATCAGAGCATTGCAATGATATAGGATGTTCATGTGAATCAGAGCTTTCCAATGATAGAGAATGTTCCAGTGAATGAAAGCATTCCAATGAAAGAGAATGTTCCTGTGACTGAGACCATTCCAATGATATAGAATGTTCCCATGAATGAGAGCATTCCAATGATAATTCCAATGATATAGAATGTTCCCGTGAATGTGAGCATTCCAATATTAGGGAGGACTTCGTGTGAATGAGAGCATTCCTATGATATAGAATGTTCCTGTGAACGAGAGCATTATAATGGTAGAGAATGTTCCCGTGAATGTGAGCATTCCAATATTAGGGAGGACTTCGTGTGAATGAGAGCATTCCAATGATTGTGAATGAGAGCATTCCAATGAAATAGAATGTTCCTGTGAATGAGATCATTCCAATGATAGAGAAGGTTCCTGTGAATGAGAGCATTCCAATGAAAGATTTGTCGAGTTATTGAGAGCATTCAAATGATAAGATGGCCCAGTGAATGAGAGCATTCCAATGATTGTGAATGAGAGCATTCCAATGAAATAGAATGTTCCTGTGAATGAGAACATTCCAATGATAGAGAATGTTCCAGTGAATGAGAGCATTCCAATGATTGAGATTGTTCCTGTGAATGAGAGCATTCCTATGATATAGAACGTTCCTGTGAATGTGAGCATTCCATTGATAGAGAATGTTCCCGTGAATATGAGCATTCCAATGATATAGAATGCTCCTGTGAATGAGAGCATTCCGATGAGGGAGAGAATTTTCATGTGAATGAGAACATTCCAATGATATGGAATGTTCCTGTGAATGAGGGCATTCCAATGATATATAATGTTCCTGGGAATGAGAGCATTCCAATGATATAAAATGTTCCTGTGAATGAGAGCATTACAATGATATAGAATGTTCCCATGAATGAGAGCATTCCAATGATACCAATGATATAGAACGTTCCTGTGAATGAGTACATTCCAATGAAAGATTTATCTAGTTATTGAGAGCATTCAAATGATAAGAAGGTCCAGGGAATGAGAACATTCCAATGATATATAATGTTCCTGGGAATGAGAGCATTCCAATGATATAAAATGTTCCTGTGAACGAGAGCATTATAATGGTAGAGAATGTTCCCGTGAAAGTGAGCATTCCAATATTAGGGAGGACTTCGTGTGAATGAGAGCATTCCAATTATATAGAACGTTCCTGTGAATGAGTACATTCCAATGAAAGATTTGTCTGGTTATTGAGAGCATTCAAATGATAGAGAATGTTCCTGTGATTCAGAGCATTCCAATGGTATAGAATGTTCCTGTGAATGAGAGTATTCCAATGATATAGAATGTTCCCGTGAATGTGAGCATTCCAATATTAGGGAGGACTTCGTGTGAATGAGAGCATTCAAATGATATAGAATGTTCCTGTGAATCAGAGCTTTCCAATGATATAGATGTTCCTGTGAATGAGAGCATTACAATGATATAGAATGTTCCCATGAATGAGAGCATTCCAATGATACAGAATGTTCCTGTGAATGAGAGCACTCCGATGATAGAGAGAATGTTCATGTGAATGAGAGCATTCCAATGAAATAGAATGTTCCTATGAATCAGAGCATTCCAATGATAGCGAATGTTCCCGTGAATGAGAGCATTCCAATGATATAGGATGTTCCTGTGAATGAGAGCATTCCTATGATATAGAACGTTCCTGTGAATGGGAGCATTCCAATGATATAAAATGTTCCTGTGAACGAGAGCATTATAATGGTAGAGAATGTTCCCGTGAAATGATATAGAACGTTCCTGTGAATGAGTACATTCCAATGAAAGATTTGCCAATGATATAGAATGTTCCTGTCAATGAGAGCATTCCAATGATATAGAATATTAACTTGAATGGGAACATTCCAATGATATAGTATGTTCCTGTGAACGAGAGCATTATAATGGTAGAGAATGTTCCCGTGAAAGTGAGCATTCCAATATTAGGGAGGACTTCGTGTGAATGAGAGCATTCCAATTATATAGAACGTTCCTGTGAATGAGTACATTCCAATGAAAGATTTGTCTGGTTATTGAGAGCATTCAAATGATAAGATGGCCCAGTGAATGAGAGCATTCCAATATTCCAATGATAGAGAATGTTCCTGTGAATGGGAGCATTCCAATGATAGAGAATGGTCCATTGAATGAGAGCATTCCAATGATAATTCCAATGATATAGAATGTTCCCATGAATGAGAGCATTCCAATGATAGAGAACGTTCCTGGGAATGAGAGCATTCCAATGATAGAGAACGTTCCTGGGAATGAGAGCATTCCAATGATAGAGAACGTTCCAGTGAATGAGAGTATTCCAATGATATAGAATGTTCCCGTGAATGTGAGCATTCCATTATTAGGGAGAATGTGTATGTGAATGAGAGCATTCCAATGAAAGATTTGTCGAGTTATTGAGAGCATTCAAATGATAGAGAATGTTCCTGTGACTGAAAGTATTCCAATGATATAGAATGTTCCCGTGAATGTGAGCATTCCAATATTAGGGAGGACTTCGTGTGAATGAGAGCATTCCTATGATATAGAACGTTCCTGTGAATGAGTACATTCCAATGAAAGATTTGTCTGGTTATTGAGAGCATTCAAATGATAAGAAGGTCCAGTGAATGAGAACATTCCAATGATAGAGAAGGTTCCTGTGAATGAGAGCATTGCGATGGTAGAGAATGATGCCGTGAATGAGAGCATTCCAATGATTGTGAATGAGAGCATTCCAATGAAATAGAATGTTCCTGTGAATGAGAGCATTCCGATGATAGAGAGAATGTTCATGTGAATGAGAGCATTCCAATGATATAGAACGTTCCTGTGAATGTGAGCATTCCAATGATAGAGAATGTTCCTGTGATTGAGAGCATTCCAATGGTATAGAATGTTCCTGTGAATGAGATCATTCCAATGATAGAGAATGTTCCTGTGAATGAGAGCATTCCAATGATATAGAACGTTCCTGTGAATGGGAGCATTCCAATGATATAGAACGTTCCTGGGAATGTGAGCATTCCAATGATATAGGATGTTCATGTGAATCAGAGCTTTCCAATGATATAGAATGTTCCTGTGAATGAGAGCATTCCAGTGATAGAGATTATTCCTGTGAATGAGAGCATTCCAATGATAGAGATTGTTCCTGTGAATGAGAGCATTCCCATGATATAGAATGTTCCTGTGAATGAGAGCATTCCAATGATAGAGATAATTGATTATGTTTTTATCTCAATTACGGTATTTTACGCTGAAATGGTAATTTTAATATTTACAATAGTAATAAGAAGATTGCAAGGCAGATTTATGTCCTACATATGAATTATATTTCAGCCGTGATATATCGATATTGTCGTAAGCCGAAACCGTCTCGTTAATGCAAAAATGATAATCATTTTCTTGAAACTTGAGCAGTTATCAAAATTAAATCATAAATATGCATCAAAATAGTTTGAAAGTGTAATCCAGGAACTTTACAAAGGTTCTCGGCTGCTTGTTTCTCTATTAGCATGACATAATTACACAGGCAAAGTACCGGAGGGGATGAGGGGAATTAATATCTGTTGTATTGCCGGTTAGACATACACATCAACACAAGCATGACAGAACCGTGCAATATCAGAAATGCTTAAGGTTTATCGAAGGTATTAAAAGCCCCATCCCAAAATAAAATGGTTAAATTAGGTTCTAAGGTGCGCTTTAGATAATAAACCGATTGTAGAAGCAATCTGATATAGGGTCCCAAAGGCAATCTGGTGACTAGCGAAGGTCAAGGTCACGGGAGTTATAACCTTGGCTATGCGATACAGCCGTTAGGTACTTTGCTATACCAGTGGTCGTCACCTTTTGTAAAACATTTCTGAAACAGATCTAGAACTCCCTATTGCATTTTATACATAGAATATAACACAAAAGGTCAACACTGATGGTTGTAAAAGACAACCAAACACGGAAATGGAACACCTGTCAGGATGCATTTTAACAAAACTGTTTTTCGTTTTTTTAGGTGACAATAGTTTCCGTTATAAACTGTTCATCTCCTTGAAACAATAATTCTAGCATTTATAATTTGGTAAGTGGGTGCTAGCACGAAGCCCGGGAAGTCGTATCTAAATAGGTATGACATTTTAATGCATGACCAAGACGTCTCATCTCGCTAATGTAGACGAGGACTAGGGGTAGGATATCGTTTGGCATTACCTTTTGACAGCCCCCGTCATAAATCGACGTGCTATATAGAATGTCACGAATACTCTAATGGCGACGTCAGGAAACGAGAGCGTATTTCAAAGATTAGGGCGGTCTTCTCATAATCCTTTCCATGCGCATTCGTTACGGAGTGTTAATCTGCAAATTTCCTTCTCCTGTCAAACCATTCCTGTTTGCCGACATGTCAGGAAAGGACAACAGGGTTGGCTGAATAAAAATAATCGTCAGACAATACACCAGTGGTGCTATTGGCCGACGCTTGTATAGTAACATACGTACACACGCCTCCAGCGCAAAGTGTGACAGCATATATACTTGCTGCTGAAGAGAAACTGATGGCGCTCGTGGTTTCATAATTATCACAATCAGGGGAACGTGTAAGGTGAGTTGTTAGATATCGTTAACTGTTGTATTGTATCTACCTTACCGTTGTTACTAACTGTATAGATGTGTTAAGTCTTATTTAGGGTGCTATACAGTCATATAGCTTATACTAGAAAATACAGTATGTTAACTCTAGAAATGGGGTTACTTTTTTGCAGAAGTCAAATAAGTATTTGTAATGTGGTTAAATGTTGTTTATGATTTAGGTATAATTAAATATGAATCCCTGTACTGTCTCTACTACTACCAATACTACTACAACCATATTACAATATTGATATTGTTTATACAATGTGAGGAGAGTTGGTAACACGTGAATATTGTTTGCCATTACAAACAGCAGAATAAATTCCGCGGTAATGTTTTTAATGTGTAATTTAAAATAAGTTGTTTTATGAAGCATACAGTTAATATATTATTTGAGGCCTTTGTAATATTTTGAATGTAAAAGTGAATTTGAATTACTTGTTAGCAGCATTCAATATTGGTAAGTTATGTAAATTAATGAACGACTTACTTCAAAAGCCAAATACAGCTTCAGCAGCGTCATTGTGTTTTGGTGAATCAATCTATATGTCCAGTTTGCCTTTGTTAGTTAATTGCCTCTTTTTCAGATTAAACACAAGATGGAGGTTACGACGTATAAAGTGGCCATTGCTGTGTTGATGTTTGTCTGTTTAATGATTAGTGACTCACAATGTGGGATTCCATTGAACTCTTTTCTCTCGGCTTCAAACGGCAAATTGGAACGAGACGCCGATGATGTAGACAATTTTGATGAAGAAACAGCAAATATCCAAGGCGTACGAGGACAAGGTACGTGGCGTAGATACAGGTTGTGTTAAGTATGCAGTCAAATATATAAACTGTATCGGTAACAAAAATAATAATTGAAAACAATGTGAACAAGGATTTCGAAACATTAAGTACCGATGTGAGTTCCTTTGTGAATTCGATAAAATCACAGGGAATATACAGTTTGACCTATTCATATTTAAAGCTTCATGAGATATACACTTAAATATATTGTAAAATGTCATGGAAATACACTTTCAGGTATTGTAAAATGACATTGTTATACATTTTAAATTTATTGTAAAACGAGATAGTTATACACCTTAATATATTGTAAAATGACATTGATATATACTTTCATGTATTGTAAACTGACCTGGTAATGCACCTTAATATATTGTAAAATGACATGGTTATACACTCAAACTTATTGTAAAATGACGTTTTCATTCATTCTTTAATTCCTCTCCAAAGAGATACAAATAAATGCAAAAAATAAGAGAGAAAAATAGATATTTAGCACAGTCTCTGGTTTTGGTTAAGGTTCATCGCGTACACGATCGCGTCACGATGTACGTTTTACATCCTGTCGTCTGCTGAGAGGTAATTATGTGACGCAGCTCTCAAGAACCGAGCTGCCATCATCCGAAACAGTTTGTCGTCCTCTATGTCCGGGTGTTTACATTCAAATAAAATTTGTACGAATTATTCTTCTGTTATATTGTCCTTAGTCAGGAATGTTTCTATGCCACATATAAAATGACATTGTTATACATTTTGATTTATTGCAAAATGACATGGTTATGCATATTAATTTATTGTAAAATGACATTGTTGTACACTTAAATATATTGTAAAATGACATAGTTATACACTTAAATATATTGTAAAATGATATGGTTATACACCTTAATATATTGTAAAATGATATGGTTAAACACCTTAATATATTGTAAAATGACATAGTTATACACTTAAAAATGTTGTAAAATGATATGGTTATACACCTTAATTTATTGTAAAATGGCATGGTTATACACCTTAATTTATTGTAAAATGACATAGTTATACACTTAAAAATGTTGTAAAATGATATGGTTATACACCTTAATATATTGTAAAATGATATGGTTATACACTTAAATTTATTGTAAAATGACATGGTTATACACTATTGTAAAATGACATGGTTATAAACCTAAATTTATTGTAAAATGATATGGTTATACACTTAAATTTATTGTAAAATGATATGGTTATACACCTTAATTTATTGTAAAATGATATGGTTATACACTTAAATTTATTGTAAAATGACATGGTTATAAATCTTAATTTATTGTAAAATGATATGGTTATACACTATAGTAAAATGACATGGTTATAAACCTTAATTTATTGTAAAATGATATGGTTATACACTATAGTAAATTGACATGGATATACACTATAGTAAAATGACATGGTTATACACTTTAATTTATTGTAAAATGCCATTGTATACACTTACATATATTTTAAAATGATATGGTTGTACACTTTAATATTCATAATTCAATTAATTATCTGAGTTTTTTCCATAAGAAATCAATAATGTAATATATAGCGAATCTTATTGAAAAATCTTACTAAAATAAATCTACTTAAATTCAGACACAATTGTGAAACGCGGGGAAGAAAATATTCACAGTATATTCAGTGAAATGTATAGTTAAATCCTAGAACACATGTAGGTCATTGTGATGTCACAGCAGACATACACATTGACATTGTGAAGACACAGAAAACATACATTGTAACAATGTATATCACAGCAGACATACACATTGACATTGTAAAGTCATAGAAAACATACATTATAACATTGTATATCACAGGAGACATACACATTGACATTGTAAAGTCATAGAAAACATACATTATAACATTGTATATCACAGGAGACATACACATTGACATTGTAAAGTCATAGAAAACATACATTATAACATTGTATATCACAGGAGACATACACATTGACATTGTAAAGTCATGGAAAACATACATTATAACATTGTATATCACAGGAGACATACACATTGACATTGTAAAGTCATAGAAAACATACATTATAACATTGTATATCACAGGAGACATACACATTGACATTGTAAAGTCATAGAAAACATACATTATAACATTGTATATCACAGGAGACATACACATTGACATTGTAAAGTCATAGAAAACATACATTATAACATTGTATATCACAGGAGACATACACATTGACATTGTAAAGTCATAGAAAACATACATTATAACATTGTATATCACAGGAGACATACACATTGACATTGTAAAGTCATAGAAAACATACATTATAACATTGTATATCACAGGAGACATACACATTGACATTGTAAAGTCATAGAAAACATACATTATAACATTGTATATCACAGGAGACATACACATTGACATTGTAAAGTCATAGAAAACATACATTATAACATTGTATATCACAGGAGACATACACATTGACATTGTAAAGTCATAGAAAACATACATTATAACATTGTATATCACAGGAGACATACACATTGACATTGTAAAGTCATAGAAAACATACATTATAACATTGTATATCACAGGAGACATACACATTGACATTGTAAAGTCATAGAAAACATACATTATAACATTGTATATCACAGGAGACATACACATTGACATTGTAAAGTCATAGAAAACATACATTATAACATTGTATATCACAGGAGACATACACATTGACATTGTAAAGTCATAGAAAACATACATTATAACATTGTATATCACAGGAGACATACACATTGACATTGTAAAGTCATAGAAAACATACATTATAACATTGTATATCACAGGAGACATACACATTGACATTGTAAAGTCATAGAAAACATACATTATAACATTGTATATCACAGGAGACATACACATTGACATTGTAAAGTCATAGAAAACATACATTATAACATTGTATATCACAGGAGACATACACATTGACATTGTAAAGTCATGGAAAACATACATTATAACATTGTATATCACAGGAGACATACACATTGACATTGTAAAGTCATGGAAAACATACATTATAACATTGTATATCACAGGAGACATACACATTGACATTGTAAAGTCATGGAAAACATACATTATAACATTGTATATCACAGGAGACATACACATTGACATTGTAAAGTCATAGAAAACATACATTATAACATTGTATATCACAGGAGACATACACATTGACATTGTAAAGTCATAGAAAACATACATTATAACATTGTATATCACAGGAGACATACACATTGACATTGTAAAGTCATAGAAAACATACATTATAACATTGTATATCACAGGAGACATACACATTGACATTGTAAAGTCATAGAAAACATACATTATAACATTGTATATCACAGGAGACATACACATTGACATTGTAAAGTCATAGAAAACATACATTATAACATTGTATATCACAGGAGACATACACATTGACATTGTAAAGTCATAGAAAACATACATTATAACATTGTATATCACAGGAGACATACACATTGACATTGTAAAGTCATAGAAAACATACATTATAACATTGTATATCACAGGAGACATACACATTGACATTGTAAAGTCATAGAAAACATACATTATAACATTGTATATCACAGGAGACATACACATTGACATTGTAAAGTCATAGAAAACATACATTATAACATTGTATATCACAGGAGACATACACATTGACATTGTAAAGTCATAGAAAACATACATTATAACATTGTATATCACAGGAGACATACACATTGACATTGTAAAGTCATAGAAAACATACATTATAACATTGTATATCACAGGAGACATACACATTGACATTGTAAAGTCATAGAAAACATACATTATAACATTGTATATCACAGGAGACATACACATTGACATTGTAAAGTCATAGAAAACATACATTATAACATTGTATATCACAGGAGACATACACATTGACATTGTAAAGTCATAGAAAACATACATTATAACATTGTATATCACAGGAGACATACACATTGACATTGTAAAGTCATAGAAAACATACATTATAACATTGTATATCACAGGAGACATACACATTGACATTGTAAAGTCATAGAAAACATACATTATAACATTGTATATCACAGGAGACATACACATTGACATTGTAAAGTCATAGAAAACATACATTATAACATTGTATATCACAGGAGACATACACATTGACATTGTAAAGTCATAGAAAACATACATTATAACATTGTATATCACAGGAGACATACACATTGACATTGTAAAGTCATAGAAAACATACATTATAACATTGTATATCACAGGAGACATACACATTGACATTGTAAAGTCATAGAAAACATACATTATAACATTGTATATCACAGGAGACATACACATTGACATTGTAAAGTCATAGAAAACATACATTATAACATTGTATATCACAGGAGACATACACATTGACATTGTAAAGTCATAGAAAACATACATTATAACATTGTATATCACAGGAGACATACACATTGACATTGTAAAGTCATAGAAAACATACATTATAACATTGTATATCACAGGAGACATACACATTGACATTGTAAAGTCATAGAAAACATACATTATAACATTGTATATCACAGGAGACATACACATTGACATTGTAAAGTCATAGAAAACATACATTATAACATTGTATATCACAGGAGACATACACATTGACATTGTAAAGTCATAGAAAACATACATTATAACATTGTATATCACAGGAGACATACACATTGACATTGTAAAGTCATAGAAAACATACATTATAACATTGTATATCACAGGAGACATACACATTGACATTGTAAAGTCATAGAAAACATACATTATAACATTGTATATCACAGGAGACATACACATTGACATTGTAAAGTCATAGAAAACATACATTATAACATTGTATATCACAGGAGACATACACATTGACATTGTAAAGTCATAGAAAACATACATTATAACATTGTATATCACAGGAGACATACACATTGACATTGTAAAGTCATAGAAAACATACATTATAACATTGTATATCACAGGAGACATACACATTGACATTGTAAAGTCATAGAAAACATACATTATAACATTGTATATCACAGGAGACATACACATTGACATTGTAAAGTCATAGAAAACATACATTATAACATTGTATATCACAGGAGACATACACATTGACATTGTAAAGTCATAGAAAACATACATTATAACATTGTATATCACAGGAGACATACACATTGACATTGTAAAGTCATAGAAAACATACATTATAACATTGTATATCACAGGAGACATACACATTGACATTGTAAAGTCATAGAAAACATACATTATAACATTGTATATCACAGGAGACATACACATTGACATTGTAAAGTCATAGAAAACATACATTATAACATTGTATATCACAGGAGACATACACATTGACATTGTAAAGTCATAGAAAACATACATTATAACATTGTATATCACAGGAGACATACACATTGACATTGTAAAGTCATAGAAAACATACATTATAACATTGTATATCACAGGAGACATACACATTGACATTGTAAAGTCATAGAAAACATACATTATAACATTGTATATCACAGGAGACATACACATTGACATTGTAAAGTCATAGAAAACATACATTATAACATTGTATATCACAGGAGACATACACATTGACATTGTAAAGTCATAGAAAACATACATTATAACATTGTATATCACAGGAGACATACACATTGACATTGTAAAGTCATAGAAAACATACATTATAACATTGTATATCACAGGAGACATACACATTGACATTGTAAAGTCATAGAAAACATACATTATAACAATGTATATCACAGGAGACATACACATTGACATTGTAAAGTCATGGAAAACACACATCATAACATTGTATATCACAGGAGACATACCCATTGACATTGTAAAGTAATGGAAAACACACATCATAACATTGTATATCACAGGAGACATACCCATTGACTTTGTAAAGTAAAAAAAAAAAACATACACTATAACAATGTATATCACAGGAGACATACCCATTGACATTGTAAAGTAAAAAAAACAACATACATTATAACAATGTATATCACAGGGGACATACACATTGACATTGTAAAGTCATAAAAAACATACATTATAACATTGTATATCACAGGAGACATACCCATTGACATTGTAAAGTCATAGAAAACATACATTATAACAATGTATATCACAGGAGACATACACATTGCCATTGATCTGATCTGATCTCTGTGCATGTTATATGTGAACAGAGATAAGGGACGTGAACTTGGTCATGGAGTGTTATAGCAATGTTCGTACTCTCTCAATGTTTCACCAACATTTCGACACGATACAGACATTTTTCATTGATCTTTTAATCCTTCTTTGTAGATCTTCGGAAACTTATTCTAAAGAAGCTGAGATTCCGGGATTTGGACGACCAGAGTCCGCCTAGTCTTTTAGAAAGCATTCAATTTCCAGGTAAGAGAAGCGCTTGTATTTCAATAAATCTGACGTTGTCACAGAACTGTATTAGCCCATACAAAGAGAATATAATAATTTTGCAATCCAGATCCTTTGAAATAAAGAACTATACGTGACCAGATTAATACACCAAAGCGAATTATAGTAGTTTTTGTATGCCGCTGGACAATGCAATATAAAAGAGTGTTTATATATCAATTCACAAAAAATGAGAATTGTTTAAACATGATGTTGTTTGATTTTGTATTAAGACATAGGTATGAGAAATTTTACAAATTTAAAGTAAAATGACGCGAAATTCGCATCCGATGGAAAATGCAAGGAAAACGTTAGTCCAGTAAAACTATCTCATTAATGAAAGGGAAGTTTAGGAAACTTTCTTCTGGTGTTGATGTGTATCCCATGACGAGTATATTTCCCTTTCAATGCTATTATAATGTAAGCGATTCAAACGAATTACGTCCTTTTACTCAAAGCCTCAATTGAAATTGACAAATGAATATATTGTGTATTGACTGCATTGACGGTGACCAGTGGCCATACTTTATTCCTCAAACATTAACTTCTGTTGTTACAGTGAAGCGGGACCAGGACAATCTTGTGGATAAGGTTGCCGCTCTTCTATCTGGTCTCAAAGTTAGACAGATTTCTGACAGTCCTAGTGTGCGCATGCCCAGTCTCAGATTCGGCTAACAAAGATATTGACCTGGATATTCGGAAATACGTAGAGCTGTTTTGTACTCGGAGAAAGGACTTGTAATATTACATTAACCTTATATACACAGAAATACATGGAACAAGACTACCTTTATAAGCGTGTACTTAACGTTTACACTTCTACCCAGGTAACAATAATACAGGATTTATTTTCGTTACTGTATGCAGGGATACTATATAGATTCATTACACGTCCCTGCTGTATGGAAATGACTGTTGACGTAATGGTGGATTTGACAGTGAACTATAAAGTTTAACTAGTGCTATATTACACAGAAAACTATTTTTGAAAGAAAAACAAAATTATTCCCAGAGTATCTATGTACATTACTCGATAAATGCATGGATTCGTTCTTGTTTTGCCTCGCCTCGTTTACATAAGCTGAAGCATTGCAGATACTATCGTTACATTGACTCAACTGCTAATAATGTTACACTGAGTGTACGGTACGTAATCACACATCTACTGTTATGTATGTAAACATTTGCAAGCCATGCCAACAACATATACTTGCATTCATTTATGTTTCCTTTTCAAATAAATTCAGCATTTATATTTGTACAAATGTTATATTCTTTATTTTTTGAAATTAAAACATTAAAAAAATGCCTATACAGCTCTTAGTGCAGTCCTACTTTGTTGCCGTCCATGTGTCAGCACCACATCCATAAGGATAGACCAAACTGAGCGTACGACCTGGGCACAGCTGTACGATTTGAGAGAGAGACAACATGGTTTCATGTAGTGTAATCTCTCATTCAGAAGGTGTGGTTACATAGAATGCAGTGTCTTATATAGACGTTGTGTTTACATGGAGTGAGATCTCTCCTACAGAAGGTGTTGTTCCATGGAGTGAAATCCCTCCTTAAGAAGGTGTGATAACATAGAGTGAAATATCTCCTTAGGAAGGCGTGGTAACATGAATTGAAATATCATCTAGTGTGGTTTCATGACGTGAAATCTCTCCTTTATCAGGTGTGGTTACATGCAATAAAATCTCTCCTTTAGAAGGTGTGCTAACATGGAGTGGAATATCATCTTTAGAAGGTGTGATTACATGGAGTGACATATCTCCTTTAGAAGGTGTGCTAACATGGAGTGGAATATCATCTTAAGAAGTCGTGGTTACATGGCGTGAAATGTCTCCGTTAGAGGGTGTGGTAACATTGAGTGAAATATCTCCTATATAAGGTGCAGTTACATAGAGTGAGATCTCTCCTTGATAGTGTGTGGTTACATGGAGTGAAATATGTCCTTTAGAAAGTGCAGTTACATAGAGTGAAATCTCTCCTTTAGAATGTGTGGTTACATGGGGTGAAATATGTCCTTATGAAGGTGTGGTTACATAGAGTGAAATGTCCTTTATAATGTGCAGTTACATAGAGTGAAATCTCTCCTTTAGAATGTGTGGTTACATGGGGTGAAATATGTCCTATAGAAAGTGCAGTTACATAGAGTGAAATGTCTCCTTTAGAATGTGTGGTTACATGGAGTGAAATATGTCCTTAAGAAGGTGTGGTTACATAGAGTGAAAACTCTCCTTGAGAATGTGTGGTTACATGGAGTGAAATATGTCCTTAGGAAGGTGTGGTTACATTGAGTGAAATCTCTCCTTTAGAATGTGTGGTTACATGGAGTGAAATATGTCCTTTAGAAAGTGCAGTTTCATAGAGTGAAATGTCTCCTTTAGAATAATGTGTGGTTACATGGAGTGCAATGTCTCTTTTAGAATATGTGGTTAAATGGAGTGAAATATGTCCTTAAGAAGGTGTGGTTACATGGAGTGAATTGTCTCCATTAGAATGTGTGGTTAAATGGAGTGAAATATGTCCTTTAGAATCTGTGGTTAGATGAAGTGAAATATGTCCTTTAGGAGGTGTGGTTACATGGAGTGAAATATCGCTATTAGAAGGTTTGGTTATATCGAGTGAAATCTTTCCTGTAGAATGTATGGTTACATAGAGTAAAATATGTCCTTTAGAAGGTGTGGTTGAAAACATGTGGGCATTGCTGAATGAAACCCAGGAGTTAACATGAAACCTGTTTTTCAGAGGTTTATATATATTTTAACGTATCATGTTAAAAAAAGAAGACTTCTCATAGTTAATGATAAAAATATCACATTCTGTTTGCGGTGCTTTTGTTTCGATGTCGTCTAGTAATCGTAGTTCCGGCGGACGTTGTACCTTGTTACGGAATCTTCCTGTGTTTTACTGAGATTGAGACGGATATAATCGTCACGAATTTACACAATTCCATTTCCGATGTATGTATCACAGATGCGTTTATTTTATTCAACGACGGATCAATTTATCGACGACCATGACTTCCGGTAGACAAACGGATATGCTGCATTTAGATTATAGTGGCATGTACCGGAAATACTTATAGAAATTAACTTTATTACTTAAAATGGCACTGGACCAGGAAAATCAGATAATGATCCTAGAAATACTTTTAGTTGAGGCGGAATGTTAGATAAGAAGGTGCGACAAACAAATGTGGTTTAACCTGTACAATCCTGTGATAGAAACAGTATGTCAAACAAATGTGGTTTTACCTGTACAATTCTGTGATAGAAACAGTATGTCAAACAATGAATTAAACTGCTCTAAGCGGGTGTTTCGTCATCCTAGCCCTAATCGCTGAGGCAACAAGTCAAAACTACTTTTGAAACAAAAGGGAGTTGAATAACCCCTTCATTAGATGATAAAAAAAGTTTCCAACGATATTTCTGCAAATCTTATGGACCAAGAAATCTACTAGCAGAGTCGTCCACCTTATGATGAAGGTAACGCAACCCCACGCAGATTATTACACCTATTATACAGACATAACCACACTGCATCATTCAGCCGTTTCGTCACTCTATGACTCATCGACGATGCTAGAGATGAACACATTTGACATCCAAATCGTCTAAATTACAGAGGGGCATGTGTGTGTTAAATTACAGAGGGGCATGTGTGTGTTAAATTACAGAGGGGCATGTGTGTGTTAAATTACAGAGGGGCATGTGTGTGTTAAATTACAGAGGGGCATGTGTGTGTTAAATTACAGAGGGGCATGTGTGTGTTAAATTACAGAGGGGCATGTGTGTGTTAAATTACAGAGGGGCATGTGTGTGTTAAATTACAGAGGGGCATGTGTGTGTTAAATTACAGAGGGGCATGTGTGTGTTAAATTACAGAGGGGCATGTGTGTGTTAAATTACAGAGGGGCATGTGTGTGTTAAATTACAGAGGGGCATGTGTGTGTTAAATTACAGAGGGGCATGTGTGTGTTAAATTACAGAGGGGCATGTGTGTGTTAAATTACAGAGGGGCATGTGTGTGTTAAATTACAGAGGGGCGTGTGTGTGTTAAATTACAGAGGGGCGTGTGTGTGTTAAATTACAGAGGGGCATGTGTGTGTTAAATTACAGAGGGGCGCGTGTGTGTTAAATTACAGAGGGGCGTGTGTGTGTTAAATTACAGAGGGGCGTGTGTGTGTTAAATTACAGAGGGGCGTGTGTGTGTTAAATTACAGAGGGGCGTGTGTGTGTTAAATTACAGAGGGGCGTGTGTGTGTTAAATTACAGAGGGGCGTGTGTGTGTTAAATTACAGAGGGGCGTGTGTGTGTTAAATTACAGAGGGGCGTGTGTGTGTTAAATTACAGAGGGGCGTGTGTGTGTTAAATTACAGAGGGGCGTGTGTGTGTTAAATTACAGAGGGGCGTGTGTGTGTTAAATTACAGAGGGGCGTGTGTGTGTTAAATTACAGAGGGGCGTGTGTGTGTTAAATTACAGAGGGGCGTGTGTGTGTTAAATTACAGAGGGGCGTGTGTGTGTTAAATTACAGAGGGGCGTGTGTGTGTTAAATTACAGAGGGGCGTGTGTGTGTTAAATTACAGAGGGGCGTGTATGTGTTAAATTACAGAGGGGCGTGTATGTGTTAAATTACATAGGGGACATGTGTGTGTTAAATTACAGAGGGGCGTGTGTGTGTTAAATTACAGAGGGGCGTGTGTGTGTTAAATTACAGAGGGGCGTGTGTGTGTTAAATTACAGAGGGGCGTGTGTGTGTTAAATTACAGAGGGGCGTGTGTGTGTTAAATTACAGAGGGGCGTGTGTGTGTTAAATTACAGAGGGGCGTGTGTGTGTTAAATTACAGAGGGGCGTGTGTGTGTTAAATTACAGAGGGGCGTGTGTGTGTTAAATTACAGAGGGGCGTGTGTGTGTTAAATTACAGAGGGGCGTGTGTGTGTTAAATTACAGAGGGGCGTGTGTGTGTTAAATTACAGAGGGGCGTGTGTGTGTTAAATTACAGAGGGGCGTGTGTGTGTTAAATTACAGAGGGGCGTGTGTGTGTTAAATTACAGAGGGGCGTGTGTGTGTTAAATTACAGAGGGGCGTGTATGTGTTAAATTACAGAGGGGGCATGTGTGTGTTAAGTTACAGAGGAGCGTGTGTGTGTTAAATTATAGAGGGGCGTATGTGTGTTAAATTAAAGAGGGACGTGTGTGTGTTAAATTACAGAGGGGCGTGTGTGTGTTAAATTACAGAGGAGCGTGTGTGTGTTAAATTACAGAGGGGCGTGTGTGTGTTAAATTACAGAGGGGCATGTGTGTGTTAACTTACAGAGGGGCGTGTGTGTGTGTTAAATTACAGAGGGGCATGTGCGTGTTAAATTACAGAGGGGCATGTGTGTGTTAAATTACAGAGGGGCATGTGTGTGTTAAATTACAGAGGGGTGCGTGTGTGTTAAATTACAGAGAGGCATATGTGTGTTTAATTACAGAGGGGCATGTGTGTGTTAAATTACAGAGGGGCATGTGCGTTGAACACTTAATTATGAAGTCTCTGTCGGTGTTAACCTGCATATTATATCGAGTTCGTTTTCTAAACCGTGCTGTGCTAGAAGGCACCCATACCTCCAGACTAAACCATGTTGTGCTAGAAGGCACCCATACATCCAGACGTAACCGTGCTGTGCTAGAAGGCACCCATACATCTAGACTTAACCGTGCTGTGCTAGAAGGCACCCATACGTCCAGACTAACCATGCTGTGCTAAAAGGCACCCATACGTCCAGACTAACCATGCTATGCTAGAAGGCACCCATACGTCCAGACTAACCATGCTGTGCTAGAAGGCACCCATACGTCCAGACTAACGATGATGTGCTAGAAGGCACCCATACGTCCAGACTAAGCATGCTGTGCTAGAAGGCACCCATACGTCCAGACTTACCATGCTGTGCTAGAAGGCACCCATACCTCCAGACTAACCATGCTGCGCTAGAAGGCACCCATACGTCCAGACTAACCATGATGTGCTAGAAGGCACCCATACGTCCAGACTAAGCATGCTGTGCTAGAAGGCACCCATACGTCCAGACTTACCATGCTGTGCTAGAAGGCCCCCATACCTCCAGACTAACCATGCTGTGCTAGAAGGCACCCATACCTCCAGACTAAACCATATACTTCAATTATAGACCATAATGCGTTGATTTCCAAACAATTTCACTTTATCATTTTTATCAACTGAGTTCTGGTGAAACATTACTGACCAATAGTGGATTTACTACGTTTTTATATTGTCTCGTTCGAGGCATTA